TGTTCACCTAGCCAAAGCTTGCCCTTCCCCTTTAAGCCCCTGCCATTTCCCATGGACACTTTCTCTGGATTCCGATAGAATTTCCTATTTCACCACTAAGTTTAGCATTTGAAAATGTGTATTTCTACCTTCCACACCCAGACTGGAGAGTCAAAGAAAGTAGGAACCAAGAAACTTTAAAATTAAATTTGCAACCAGAAGATGCTAAGCAAAAGCCAACTTACTGAAGTTGGCTTGGAATGCATGGTTTTCTAGAAAGATTCAAATTAACTAAAAGTCAGATAAAAGAAAATTAGGATTTAGTTTTTCTTAGGGGAAAAAAATCTGTTAACACCTGCCCCTCATTCACACATAGCAAAATCACCTAGGGCTGGCACGTATTTTGCAGTTTTCAAATTCCCACCAATCCTTGTCATATCTAACCTAGCATGTTGCACTCATTTGTATTATTTATCTGGTCTGCTTACATACAAAATATAAAAGCCACAAAAGATAAAGTAACCCTCCACCACAGAATAAAATCTTGTCCCACAAAATAAAAATTATTTACATATTAAAAAATGTTCAATAGAGAATGCACTTGTGAATTTGCCAGAATTCATTAAAGTAGTCCTCTTCCTCCCTCCCTCTCTATATAGACTAGTGCTAACCAAAATAATCTTCTGTGATGACAATGTTCCATATTTGCATTGTCCAATATAATAGCCATTAGCTACATATGGCTATTGAGTACCTGAAATGTGGCTAATGCAACTGAGGAACTGAATTTTGAAGTTCTTAAAGAATATCATTTCTACTTCTCCGAACTTCCCTTCTCATCTCTTTCATTGCTTCCACCTCTTCAGCCAGCTCCTTAAATTGGTATTTCCCAGAATTCTGTCATTTCTCCCTATCCCTGGGTGATTTTATCTTATCACTATTGTCATTTTTACCTCTGAAGCTATACTTGCAAATTTCATGCCTATTTCACCCACAGGCATGTAAGACAATAAACTCCTCTCTCTGCAAATCTGCTACTTTTCTTATAGTCCTTATCTCAATGGTATTACTAACCACGCAGTTTTCCAAGCTACAAACCTGGGTACCATCCTTGATTCTTCACCCCTTCTCTCTCAAATGTCCACTTTTCTATCTACTCAGAGTCTCCTCTTTATCCTTTCTTTCTCAATACCTCATTAAGATTTATATGGATTAGTTAACAAGTTTCTAGTTGGTCTTCCTGCCATCAGCCCCTTTCTACTGTAATTCTAATTCTATACTCAACCCTCCTGCATTCTGACTTAATAATCCTTAATAATGACTTTTGCTAGCTATGTCCAAAACCGATGGGACAAAGTCCAAACCCTAGCATGGTACCCAAATCTCTTTAAAATTTTGCTACAATCTATTTTTCCAGTTGTCACTGTCTATGCTCCAGTCACACTGACCTATGCACTGGTACCCCAAAAGTTCCTTATCTAATCTCCATCTAAATCAATTCATCTTCTCCGAGGAACCTTTCCTGGCTCTCCCTGGAAGTGTCACTTCCTTCAGTAACTTACTTTATACTGTTATTTTAGTACTCACCATGTTATAAATTCCAATAAAATTTTATACACTTGAATCCCCATTATAATACTACTACCATAAAATATATATTTTGTAATAATTTCCAGAAAAATAGAAACTGCCAGGTAAAGGACCTAGAGATAACTTAATAACCAAAGAATATCATCTAAAGAAACAAATAA